AAACTGTCTTGCAAAAGATAGGAGATCTATGGATGCGGTTGATTGCGCAATGAATTCCGCGATCTACATTTCATGTTTTAAAAACAATATTTTAGCGAGATTCCAATACTTTTGGTGATTTTGAGATTGTGACTGTATCGCGATCTCTACATTGACTTTTATTCAAATTATCTGTGCACTTGCATCCCTCGAGGGCATGTTACCTTGATGAAAGATCCCATCTTGGTGTTATTGCAATCCCGGGAAAAGAAGTGCTACCAGTCCGCCGGGACTATAAACTGGTGATGATCAATTGTATCCACGGCCTTTCCTTGGAATGATTTCACATAGGTCGAACCAGAGAACCGCATAATCTGTTACCACGGAAACCGGTAGCCCGCTGGGCAGAGTTTCGGACTTTGTTTTGTCCCGGCTATTGAAGAGGTACCTTCGGGGTGGCTGTGGTTTAAACCCAAATTCGTGGGAAGAGAATGTCGGTTAAAAGACTGATGCACGGTAAATTCTATAATTCGTGATAAGTTCAATGCTGTTGCCGAAGACAACAGATACACCACAGAGAAGTGACTTTGAGACTTAACGTTGGAAATGAGTAGGTGTTAAGTGTATATGATACGGGATGGCAGGTGTTCACGTAAAGCACTTCGACATCTTGTGCACTTGCACCTATTGTAGTTTAAAGTCCTGCGGATTAGTATTCGTACTAACAACTTCATCCGTATTTAGCCGGATAGACGGTTTTAAGATGTTTTACTATTTTTTGCAAAAAATGTTGGCAGATTATAAAGAACACACATTTTAAAATTTTTGTTTCTAACGAAAATAATTTAAAACAAATGAAAAAGAAAATAAACTTTGACAGTTAGAAAATATAAAACAAAATAATCAGCAGCCTTATCAATTTCACCTGTAATTAATACATCTTGGAGAAACGTATAGAGAGGAAACATGAAATTTTTATTTTTTAAACATAAAGTAAGCTGTACACACATATGGCTACTGTGTATTCAACATACCATCTGTTAGATTTCCCCGAAGTCATTTGTCAAATTGAATGTAAATAAATTAAATATTTTTAGTTTTATATAAAAAAAATCAAAATTATAATATGTATGTTCCCGTGCTCGTCTGGATTGCCATTTTTTGTCTTCTCCCGGTTATTGCAGAGGTCCCTTCTGCATGGGTGTGGTTTAAACACAAAATTGCGAGTTAAATCTATATTTCTGGATGAGTTCGGCGCTGTTACCGAAAAGACAACAGATACATAACAGAATATTAGACTACTCACCACGCTTCTTTGTCCTTTTTACACTTTGCTCATGTACTCAGAGATTAGGTACTCTGGCCATTACTTAACTTCCGAGATGGAAAAACATCACTTCAGTTTACAACCACGAAGATGGAATTCGGCAATAGCATCTAGACCAAAATACGAATTCAAATAAGCCAAAGACATTGTTCTTACTCACAGAGAACACACTGTGGTAAGTATGGGATGGACAGAGTAAACCCTAAATATACCCTGACATGAAAGGCAAATTCATTGGTATCACATTTATAAGATACTTTTCATACATCACCATCCATTCAACTCTGCACACCGACACACTCATTGAGAACAACATCTGAGTTAGTAAGGTTCGTATAATCCTACATCCATCCCGTATGATATACATTTGACACAAACTCATTTCCAACGCTCTGCGTGGTATCTGTTATCTCAGCTACAGCACCGAACTTATCCCGAATTTTAGACTTTACCGTGCACCAGTCTTTTAACCAATATTCTCTTCCCGGTATGGGTTTAAACCACAGCAACCACGTACATCCCGAAGGGAACAAGACAAAGGAATGCCCGAGGATACATTTAGCATCACCAGTTAATAGTCCCGGCAAATCGTATTGCAATGCAACTAAGAAAGGGAAGGGTTGGTGTCAAAGGAATAAGTTACAGAATGAATCAAGGGTATATGGACCTCGCCACACCCTTATACTCGTAAGAATATGTCGAGTGTTTTCTCTTGAATTTGGGTCACCTAAAACTGTTTATTTTGCCGAAGTTATGTAAAATTATAAAAATAATAAATAAAACAAGTAAGAGTGCTATATTCGGCTATGCCGAATCTATTATACCAACCATCAAACCGTATGCCGTAAAGGAATGCTCACCTATAAACATCAGGGTGATATTACTCATCAAATTTACTGAAGAGGACCTTATATGAGAGGTAGGGTGAATTATTGATTGTTTTTATTAAAATTTTCATAATTTTTTAGACTGATTTTGGTTCATATAAAGCATGTTTATATCGAATATCAGTTCCCAACACTTTTCACATTAAATTCGGTAGGAAGATTTACGTTCCTATAAAAGTTTCTTAGGTTTTGGCTCGTAAAAAACTTTCATCTATACACTCGCACTTTTAAGCCAGTAATGAGCGTTAAAGTAATTATCTGGAGGGAACCTTATATGGGGATAGGGTCAATTATGAACCGATCCACATAAAATTTGCTAGAGAGGATTTTGATCGTAGGAGACTTACTTATGTCAAATTTTATTGCTTTACTCGTATTTTTAAGCCAGTAATGAGCGTTAAAGTAATTTTTTGAAGGGGACCTTACATGGGGGGTAGAATCAGTTATGGACCCATCCACATACAATTTGGTAGAGAGGTTTTGGGTCATCAGGAACTTACTTATTTCAAATTTCATTGCTATACTCGTATTTTCAAGCCAGTAATGAGCATTGAAGTCATATATTGTAGGGGACCTTATACGGGGGTAAGGTCAATTGTGGACCGATCGACATATAATTTGATGGATATATATTTTTTTTTCTTTGACCAGTACTCAGGTGATGACCCCTACTCATGCAGTGCATTGTGCTGGAACTAGGAAAATAGGTTGTGGGAGGGAGGATTGAGGGAGTAGTGTTTGTGGACATTTGATTTAAACCCTTTAACATCGAAAGTGGCGGGGAATACTTCTGCAGGAAGTTTGTTCCACATACGAACAGTGCGGCTGAAGAATGAATTTTCCCTGTAATGTGTTGTGCCAATCGACCACAAATGGGTGTGTTCTTGAAGACAGTCGTGTGCTACGTAAAAATATACGTGTATCGGGAACGAGTTCCCTAATTTCAGAGGAACACATTCCATTATAGTATCGATAGAACAGTGAAATACACCCCACATTGCGACGGTGCTCCAGTGAATCAATAGAGTTGGATACCCTACTGTCGCCGATAAGTACCTTCGCCCTCTCTTGTACGCGGTCGAGTAGCTCTAAAATAGACTTCGAAGCTCCGGCCCATACATGGGAGTTGTATTCCATTTTCGGTCGGATATAAGTGGTGTAAATAGTTAGAAGATCAGATGGAGTGAAGTATGTCTTACACCGTTTCAAAAAACCGAGACACTTGAATGCTTCTTTCGACAGTTGGAAAATGTGTTTAGTCCATCGGACATCGCACTGTATTTTCATGCCCAGAACATCAAGCGTTTCTGATTCCTTAATATTTACACCACCCATAAATATAGATGGACTAACATTATCTGCCATACGTTTATGTGTTAAAAAACAACATTGAGTCTTGCGGGTGTTAAAATCGACTCTGTTTACACGACCCCATTCAGAGATTTTTATCAAGTCGTGATTAAGCGATTCATTCATATTGTGCCTCATTGTCCCAATCTCTAGAGGGCTTGGCCTATATTTGAATGAACGGGAATGGCAGATATTGCTGTCATCGGCAAAAGAGTAGATAGAGTTGGAAGTTTGACATAGAAGGTCATTTATGAAGATAAGAAATAGGGTAGGAGAAAGAACGGAGCCTTGCGGTACCCCTGAATTAATCTTGAACTCGTTTGAAGAGATCGTATTTTTAGGACAGAAATTAGCGTTAAAGTAATTTTCTGAAGGGGACCTTCAATGGGTGTAGGGTCAATTATGGACCGATCCACATAAAAATTTATAGAGATATTTTGGGTCGCATGGAACTTTTGTGTGTCCAATTTCATAGCTATATTCGTATTTTTAAGCCAGTAATGAACTTAAAGTCATTATTTTAAGGGGATCTTATATGGGGGGTAGGGTCAATTATGGACCGATCCACATAAAATTTGATAAACAGATTTTGGCTCGCATGGAACTTATGTATGTCGAATTTAATCGCTATACTCGTATTTTTAAGCCATTAACGAGCATAAAAAATTATGGACCGATCCTCATAAAATTTGGTAGGGAAATTTTTGGCTCATATGAAACTTATTTCGTACTTTTAAAACAGATATGCCCGTTAAAGCTGTTTTTCGGGGGTCCACTTGTATGGAGGCTGTCCGAAAATGTTGACCGATATTGCCTATTTTCAATACCAAAGAAACCTTATCTATAGAAAATATTTGTGGAAAATTTCAACCCTCTATCTCATTCCGTTCGGACTCTATCGTGCTTTCAACAGACAGACAGACGGACGGACATGGCTAGATCGTCTTAGAATTTAATAAGGACCCAGAATATATATACTTTTGTGGGACTATGACCAATATTTCGAAGTGTTACAAACGGAATGACAAAATCAATATACCCCCATCTTTTTTGATGGTGGGTATAAAAATATTGTGGTGAAAATGTCAGAATAATAAATTGAAATGTCGTTACCCAGAAAACACAGAGGGTTCATATAAAAAAAAATTTAAGACTCTAAATCGAATGTAAACGTTAAATCAACTTCTCTTTTAAAGAACCGTTAATGTTTAATATTAAATAAAATTAATAACATTTTTCAAACGTTTGATTTTGTGTTTGTTGGGTTATTTCAAATATGGGAAATATACTAATACTACCATAATTTGTTCTACTACTACGTTCAGACGACTTAGGTTTTTGACAACAGACTTAGGTCCTTGACAGCAGAGTTTCCGCTATATATACTCTATGACTCGATTCAAGTAAAATTTTATTATGGCTTTATACATTTTTTATTTTTCTTACAACCTTTTCAGAAATTAAAAAATACATTCGTATGTCAGCCATAGCAACAAGCATCATAGAAAATAGCTCTGAAGCCTTTTCGGGTGATCCAGGACAAGAGGATAATCAGATTTTAACTGAGCTAAACGATGTTGAACTGGTAATGAGTCTGTCTTCAAAATCAGTTGAATCTAATTCGATTTCCCAAAATCATCATATTGGACAACAAATTTTGAAACAGACGTCTGCAGTACAATCACCGCATATAGATACGGTGGCAACAGTTGCGATCGCGCATCAACAGTATAGCATTTCAAATTTGCAGCATTTACAAAATTTGCATAACCAACATAATAGTCAAAGTTCATATTTTAACAACCATTCTACACCATTTAGTGTGACTGATATACTCAGCCCTATTGAAGAATCGTACCGAAAACTGGAAATTAGCGGAAATCCTCCATCACCTTACCGGTAATATAAATAAATTTTAGTATAAGGGTGAGTACCTAATTACGAGTTTTAATATATAAATATAGCCAATCAGTTTAAATTAGACAAACAATTAAGTACAATTGTACTTTTTTCAGATCTTTTTCTCTCCAGACGTATATACAGCCGATTGCAGCTATCAGTTGCCAGTTGCCATCTGTAATTTCATTTTGGCAATTGGCAACTCAACTGAGGTTCGGTTGCTATCGATAATATTTATATTTCTATAAATATTTTTATTTCTATAAAATATATTTATGTCGAATTTCAAGGTATTACAGCATTTGTAAGCCAGTAATGGGCGTTGAAGTTATTTTCTGAAATAGATCTAGGACCTATGGATGTAGGGTTAATTGTGAACCGATCCTAGTAAAATTTGGTAAAAATATTTTGGTTTCTATATAAATTGTTTATTTGTTTATATGGAAATTTTGTATATACATACATATTTAGTTTTCGGTTTCTATAGAACTTGTGTCAAATTTTAAAGCCCCGACCCTCATAAAAACTTACTAAATATATTTCGGTTCATATAACAATTGTTTTTTGTCGAATTTATTTACTGTACAAGTATTTTTAAGCCAACAATGTTTACTGAGGGCAGCTAGGATAAATTGTGCACTGATCCTCATAAAACGTAAAAGAAAGATTGAAGATGCAAAAGTAATTTTCTTATATGGGGGATAGGTTCAATTATGGCGCGACCCTAATACAAATTTAGCAACATTTCGGTGAATATAATATGAGTTTCTGTACCTGTTTTTTAAGCGAGCAATGAAAGTTAAAGTTATTTTCTTAGCCGTATAGGTATTTTTATTCATATTAAACTTGCTTGTTAGAGAAATTTCGTTTCGTATTGAACATGTTTCTGTCGAATTTCATTGATTTTGACATATTTTTAAGCCAGTAATGAGTGTTAAAGACATTTTTAATGAGATGGGGGCTAGGGTCAATTAGGGACCGATCCTTATAAAATTTGGTAGGAATATTTTGGTTGATATAGAACTTGTTATGTGGAATTTCATTACTATGCTGCTGCTTTTAAACCAGTTATGAGGAGCGCGGTGTCATATAAAAACATAAAAAACCAATGTATGTCCGTCTGTTTATAAAAATCAGTATGTTGGAGGCACCATCTACCTTCGGAATCCAAATCTTAGATTTATATTTATATATTCACCCTTATTATGTACGTCGTAGTAGAATTTAAATTTTATTGGTATTATGTATCAAATTCGACATGAGTAGTTTTTTGTAGTAGATTATATTGAAAACTTTTATATAATTTACTTTTTTGAAAATGTTAAGTATTGCGGCATATTTCTTCTGATGAAAAAAAGAGGAAATAGTAAAAATCGTCTCGATATTCAGTATTTTTATTAGTGTTTTAACCTTTATATATTAGCACATTCAATTAATAGGAACCATTAATAGTTTTTTATGGACAGAGATTATTCTAATAGCTTAAATTATTTTTTTTTTGTATTTCGAACAAAAGTTTAAAATACATAGATTATTTTAAAATCTTTTGAACTTAATTTCGGATATTCGAAAATAATATTGTAATGCCTTCGTCAGTCCATTTAAACTACAGGAAGTAGTTTTAATAGACTTAAATCACTATCGAACATAAGTTCGACTTTTCGAAGTTTTTTATTTTTTATTATTCAAAGATTATTTTAAAACCATTAAACATGTTTCGAATTTAATTTCGAATTTTCGAACACAATACTATATTGCCACCATAGTAATCATAATTATTAAATTTTAGTCAATTTGGACTACAGGAAGAGATTTAAGTAGACTTAAAACATTTTCGAAAATATGTTCGAATATTTAGATTTTCGTTTTTAAGTTTTTATGATTCAGAGAGTATTTTAAAACCATAAAAAAACACTTATAAAATAATTTTATTACATTAAACATTGCTGCTCATTTGTATCTTCAGTAAAATCGGACTTTTAAACTTTGGAATTCATTAATACACATAAATGACTCTGAAAGAATAGAATTTGTTATATCAAGAAAAGATTAATTTTTTCCGTAATCTCTGCTAAAAATGTTTGTTTAAATTCGCCTTTAATAAATTTACTTTTCCAGATTGCAAATATTTCTTATTTAAATATCATTACTTTTACTATTTTTTAATTTACTAAAAACATTTCCTTATTTTAAATTTCAAAATTTTTCGCGAGAACTGCCTTAAACAACTTCTTAAAGTCAACTGACATAAAAATCAAATAACTTAAAAATTGATGAAATAGTATAACTGTTCACGGTCTTTGCACTCAGACAAAACTGATCATGATTTTTATTTTTCTCTTCACATTGTTAAGTTTTTTTCAAGTGTCCCCTCTCTCGTTTACTCGGGGGACAGTTAAGTGACGACTGCCACTCTCTTGCTTACTTGGTGTACAGTAAAGTGGCGACTGTCTTCGCTCTCGATTACGAAGAGTACATTCGTGATGAATGACAAAACATTCATTAGGTTGTACGCAGCTGGTTAGACTTTAGTGGAAAATAACAATTGTGTCTCCAATAGATGTGTAAAATATCTACATTCTGAAGTACAATGGAAAAAAATTTAAGTGTCCCCTCACTCGTTTACCTAGGGTACAGTAAAGTGACGACTGTCTTCACTCTCATTTACGAAGAGTACGTTGGTGACGAATAACCCAATACATATATAGAAATTAGGTTCAATCATATGGTTACACATTAGTGTAAATGACTGTCTTTTACGTATGCATTGACTCTTTGTCGAATTGCTAGGATATGAAACATTGCATGTGTAAAATACATGTGGAAATATATATGTAACTTTTTTCGATTAGAGCGTGCACTTTTTTCGTGTGACAAACATAAACAAAACAGCTGTTTTGTTATGAAATAAAATTATTTCATAAAAATAAATTAAAGAAAATGAATAAAAAACATGAAAAAGCAGGGACCGTAACTGTTATGACTTTTATTATAAAAGTCACAAAATAAATGTAATTTTTTTACTTTTATTTTTTTGAGCAGAAATTAAAGTTATTTTTTGACTTATTTTTTTCGGGCAGAAATAAAAGTTATTTTTTCTTCTATGGCTATTTGGTAATAAGTAACGTGCATTTAAGTGTTTTAAGGAAGAGGACTTGTATGGGACCGATCGGATCCATAATATGGACCGATCGTGAAAATATTAAAAAAAACATTTCTGTATACAAAATTAATATTTGCGCCAATTTTTGCATGGATATCATTATTTGGTAATAAGTAATGTGCAATTAAGTAATTTTCTAAAGGTCACTTTGTATGGGAGCTACGACAGTATCAGTATCAGTGGTGATAGAGGGTATATCATGAATTCCATGAGAAATCAAATAAGAATTGACCGATGGTCTTCAGATTTCTTTAATTTTTTGTAAACACAGACTCTATTAGACACATAAGACATATCAACGTTAAATTCTTAAAAATTTCAAGAATCGCGATTTTTATGGCGATTTTAATTTGTTCGAAAACTACAATTAATCAAAAAGGTATAAAACTTTGAACCTTTATATCTTTGAGAGTATATATCGGATTTTTTTGATTTAGAACCCAATCTATTACTGTGGATGAGCTCTTTCATTCTAATATATGTTCATGTATGTACACAAGAAATATTTAACTCGAATTTTATCACAATAGCTTTATTCATTAATGAAATATGTGCGTTTAGGTAATTTTCGGAAGTCGACCTTATATGGGAGCTATGACCAATTGTGGACCGACTGAGATCTACGTTGATAGTATGATTTCTGTTCATATTATATTTGAATGTACAAAGTTTTGTGTCGATACCGATATATTTGAGGGAGTTATTAATGATTAACTAATTTCCGGTAATATATACCTTTGTATGTTAGCTATGGGAAATATTGGATCGATTGTAAAGATTTTCAACATAATTAATCACTGTAAAATAATGTTTGATAAAATTTTGGTAGTTTCTGAGAAAACTTGAAAAGCATTATGAAAAAAACGTATTTTTTTGAGGTAGTCTGAAATTTTTATTCATAACTTTGTACGTTGTGAACCGATTTTGCTGATTTTTAATACCAAACTGTGATGGCTGTGAAACACACAGCCATTCAAACATACGAAACGAAATAATCGAAAAAACAAGTAAGACTGCTATATTCGAGCCGAATATTATATACCCTCCACCAGCTACTTTTTTAATTGATCAAATATTTGTAGAAATAAGATTTCTCATGTCTTAAATAGAAAAACCCCAAGATTTAAACAGCTTAAGTCTGTTACAATTCCAAGATTTATTGAACATTACAAACCCCATTTTCTTTTATATTTTTATATTAAGGATTTTTAAAATACATTTATATAATTTTGTTCTACACAAATTGACAATGCAACTAGTTAAATACGGTTAAATTGCTTTTAGGAACAGGACCTAGTATGGGAGATATGACCAATTATAGACCGATCGTAAAAAATTCTTTAAGCAAAATTTCTGTACATAAAAGCTATATTTCAGTCAAATTTTGTATCTATATCGTAATTTAGTAATAAGTAATGTGTGTTCATGTGATTTTCTGAAGGGAACCTTGCATAAGACCGACCGCACCCATGTTATGGACCGATCGTGAAAAAATCTTGAAACATAATTTTTGTATACCAAACTAATATTTGTGCCAAATTTTGTATCAATAGCTTTATTTGGTAATGAGTAATGTGCGTCAAAACGCCATTTTCTTTTATATATTTAAAGCGCCCTAAGATATGCTTTAGCGATATTTAATAATTTGTGTGAAAGATTTAAGGAAATTCAAATTTTCGGGGCAGGGCCTAGTATGGGGATATGACCAATTATGGACCGATCGTAAAAAATCTTTAAGAAACATTTCTGTATATGGAAGCTATATTTCAGTCAAATTTTGTTTCTATATCGTAATTTAGTAATAAGTAATGTGTGTTTAAGAGATTTTCGGAAGGGAACCTTGTATGGGACCGATAGCTCCCAT